TATATATATATATATCTATATATTAATCTATGAGCTAATGGATGATTCCAAGCTTTTATAAAAATAAATTGTGACACTTTAAATATTAACAAATAAATAAGTTACAAGGGCTGTTAGGTGTTGAGAATCTGTGTTTTATTGTAATTCTTTTGCAGGGAATTGAAAAAAAGTATATATCTGATATGAAGAATTATAATTTCAATGGAAAAAGATGAATGCATCAGAAATTTACATTGTAGTTCGTTTTAATTGAATTTAGAGTTCAGTCAATTTCATCGATTTTGAATCCGCCACAGCCGCATGTCATCCGTCGTCACCGCCGCCACCCACCGCCCACCTGCCGCCATCGCCGCTTGCCCACCATTGTCAGTCGCCCGCTGCGACTACCACTTCCTCGGTCTCTACTGGCCGACAAAAAATATATATATTTTGAAATATATTATTTTCAATCAATTTCAAACCAAATAAAAAAAAATATATAAAGTCCTATATTTATTTTGCAACGAACAAAACAATTCGAAAGCTATAAAATACATTGTAATAATAGTGTCCTACAAATCTTTTACATTGTATTTTATTTTTAACAAACCAAACCAAACCAAACCAAACACATGTGCATTAGATGAAACTGATGTGCATTGTGTTTAATGAAAAACCAGTAATACCATCTAGTTTAATCATAAAAATAACAATATAATTCATAATGTGTGTGGCCCAATCCAAGAAATATTTTGGGTATTTTAGCTCAATCCATGAAAATAAGAATCTGTTAGGGACAATTACAGTTGTTCGAACAAGCAACTGCGAAGCTACTGAGGAGAAATTGATGTTAAAAAAAATTGTGATGGCTATTACATTAAAAAAAAAAAAAAACAAATGTCAGACTGCAGTTTTCTAGCAGTCACCGCAGTAGTCAGGTTTGGTGCTAAAACGTAAATTTCAGCTCCAATTTTTTGAAAAAACAGACAAAACATAGTTTTGTTGTTGTTGCGAGATCTAGATATACCAGTTGATGTGGTATATATATAAATCAAACAGGAGAATGGTTGGCGAAGTAAAAAATAGAACGAGAAAAATCACACAATTAAAGAACAACATAGCGGAACACACATATTTACGTGGTTTGACAAATTGCTTACGTTCACGGAGTTGCAGAAGAATTTTACTAGTTGAGGAAATTTACATCAGTCATTCACCTCGACTATATATATATATATCTATATATTAATCTATGAGCTAATGGATGATTCCAAGCTTTTATAAAAATAAATTGTGACACTTTAAATATTAACAAATAAATAAGTTACAAGGGCTGTTAGGTGTTGCGAATTTGTGTTTTATTGTAATTCTTTTGCAGGGAATTGAAAAAAATATACATCTGATATGAAGAATTATAATTTCAATGATAAAGATGAATGCATTAGAAATTTACATTGTAGTTCTTTTTAATTGAATTTAGAGTTCAGTCAATTTCATCGATTTTGAATCCGCCACAGCCGCATGTCATCCGTCGTCACCGCCGCCACCCACCGCCCACCTGCCGCCATCGCCGCTTGCCCACCATTGTCAGTCGCCCGCTGCGACTACCACTTCCTCGGTCTCTACTGGCCGACAAAAAATATATATATTTTGAAATATATTATTTTCTTCGAAAGCTATAAAATACATTATAATAATAGTGTCCTACAAATCTTTTACATTGTATTTTATTTTTAACAAATCAAACCAAACCAAACCAAAGAGATGTGCATTAGATGAAACTGATGTGCATTGTGTTTAATGAAAA